CCGGCGGCGACCGAGCCGCGCGCGCTGGCGGCAGAGGATGCGGACGGCATTGGCACCGAGGCGTTTTCGGAGTATGCCTCCCGGGTGTACCAGTACCTGCAGGTGCTATGCAGTACCTACAGTACACTTGCCAGCTCGGCTGGCGTCCTGTCCACCTGCTGAAGGGCCCAGGCTGCTCCCCCGCCCTCTCCTTGTCCGCTGCCGCTCACTCCACACCGCCCTGGCCCCCTCCCCTTCCTCTTCAATGCAGGTTGTGGAGAACCGCATCTTCTCAGAGGGGCTGCACGTGCTGGGCCAGGCGCCGCCTCCCGACCAGACTGCCCAGTACCTCTCAGGTACACTCTGGGACCAGTAACGACCGCTGCAGTTGCCACTCGCCTCCATTCTTGTTGCTCCCATTGGAAGGAGGGTGTCTGTTGACTGTTTGGCTGCCTCCCTGCTCCCTTCTCTCCACCTACAGCGTATTTTGGCGACGACCTGCCGCCCGAGGCGGTGGAGGTGGTGGCGTCGGCTGCGCCTGGGGAGGGTGTGGCGGAGCTGCGCGCACGCCTGGACCGCATCTACCGCCAGCCGGCCGCCAGCACCATCACCAGCCCCAGGTGAGCAAGCGCAGGCCTCCTCCGCCACCTCGGCCAATGGTGGCATGGTGGCATGGTGGGCTGTTGTGCAAGTGGCCCTGCCAGTCCACACGCTGCCATTGCGCCCCTACCCATCCTACCCTGTGTTGCAGCAGCGCCACTTCAGGCAGCTCCCCGGCAGCTGCCGTGCCCGGCGACAAGCTGGCAGAGGCGGTACGCATCCGCGACCTGCTGGCGCTGAACAGCGAGGAGCTGCGCAGCGTGGCACGGGCACTGAACGGCGAATACATCCTGCCAGAGGCTGGCGGGGACCTGCTGCGCGATGGCGCAGGTGTGGGGTGGGGGCGGGCAGCACCTGCTCTTGGCTGGGGCTGGGCCTGGGCTGGGCTGGGCTGGCTGGTGCAATGCTGCCAGGCGCCTGATGCTCCCCCGCCCGCTCCCCTTGTGAGCAACAGGCGTGCTGCCCACGGGCCGCAACATCCACGCCATGGACCCCTACCGCATGCCCTCCCTGGCAGCCCTGGACCGTGGCTCCAAGGCGGCAGAGGCCATCTTGCAGGTGCGCGCTGCGGATACGCACACGCCAAGCACACCCACACCACGCCACACCCACTGCACACGACACCGCGCTACACCACACATGTATACACACACACACACACACACACAAAGCTGAACCCATCCGGCATGTGTTGCAGGCGCACCGGGAGGCCAACGACGGCGCCTGGCCCGAGACGGTGGCTGTCAACCTGTGGGGCCTGGACTCCATCAAGACCAAGGGGGAGTCGGGTGGGTGCTCCTCCCCGGTGCTATGCCGTGCCTCGGGTCATGCTGCCTAGCTGCACTGCTATGTGCGAGCCGAGCAGCCTGCTGTGCTGGCGCTGTCGGTGCCACCTGCACGGCACACCCACCCTTGCAACCCACCCGGTCATCACATCTCCGACTTTCCTCCTGCTGCAGTGGCCATCGCGCTGCACATGGTGGGCGCCCGCCTTGTCAAGGAGGGCACAGGCCGCATCGCCCGCTTCGAGCTGGTGCCTCTGGGGGAGCTGGGGGGGCGGCCGCGCGTGGATGTGCTGTGCAACATGAGCGGCATTTTCCGGGACAGCTTCCAAAACGTGGTGGAGCTGCTGGACGACTGCTTCCAGGTGTGTGGGGGATGGAAGCGGTACTGCCGCCGGTACCGCTGCTGCCACTTGCGCACCTGCCGGCTGCCTGTTGAAGTGCAGTGACCCCTTTCCTGTCAGCTCCGATACGCGCATCTCGCCCCATCTGCTGGCTGAGTGCCTCCGGACCCTGCCCTGGCACCCGTGCAGCGCGCGGCCGATGCTGACGAGCCGCCCGAGCTCAACTTTGTGCGCAAGCATGCGCTGGCGATGAAGGCGCAGGGCCTTACCAACCCCGCCGCCCGCCTCTTCTCCAACCCGGCAGGCAAGCCGCTGCCTCCTGATGCCTTGCCCACCTGCTCGCCCGGCTGCACCTGCTTGCCAGCTGGAAGCTGCTGTGCATGCTGGGCTCGCTGCGTGGGTGGGACCTCCTGCGCACGCTGCCCCCCATGCTGCCGCCGCCCTCGTCCCGTGCCCGAGCAGCTCTGCCCCCGCGCCTGCCACCCTCCTGCTGCCGCCGCCGCACCTGCAGGCGACTACGGCTCCATGGTGAATGAGCGGGTTGGGGCCTCCAACTGGGAGGATGGGGACGAGCTGGGCAACACCTGGGTGTCCCGCAACGCCTTCAGGTGCGGGCTGGCGGTAGTGTGGGGGCCCGGCGCCGCAGAGGGCAGCCCAGCCGGGGTTGGCAGCGTGACGCATGCGTGGCAGATAGGGTGCGTGCTCGCATGCCCACAGGCACGCACCACCACCTCCACGAAAGCTGTTCAACCCTGCCGAGCTGCTGCAGCTACGGGCGGGGCGGCGAGCGCGGCACCGCGCGCCCCGAGGTGCTGCAGGAGCTGCTGAAGACCACAGACCGAGTGGTGCAGGTGGGGCTGGCCCTGGGACGCGCCTGCCCCGCCTGGAACCGGCTGCACACAGCCCTGCGCCTTGTGCTGCTGCACCGCGCACCCCAGACACATGCACTACGCACCACCGCCCACCCACCCGGCGCCTCGGCACACTCGCACTCCCACGCCACCCCTCCTCCCCTGCCTGCCTGGTGCAGGAGATTGACAGCGTGGAGTATGGGCTGACAGACATCCAGGAGTACTACGCCAACACAGGGGCGCTCAAGCGGGCGGCACAGGTGGGGCAGGCCAAACTCTACACGCCGAGCGGCTCTAAGCTCCACTCATGCGGCTGGGGCGTCGGTGGGCACGGTCCCGGCTCGTTGCCGCTGTGGAGCGCCTCCAGCTACCCCGGCCCCGCACCCAGCGCCCCCTGCGCCCCCTGTGGACCAGCATGCGGCTTCCCTGCTGTCTGAGTGGTGCCCCGCGCCTGCCCCTACCCCTGCGCGCCCCCGCCGCTGCAGGCTGCGCGGCCGGGTGCCAAGGTGGGGTGCAGCATCGTGGAGGCATTCAGCAAGGAGGTGAAGCCGCGGGAGCTGGAGGAGGTGCTGCGCCTGGAGTACAGATCCAAGCTGCTCAACCCCAAGTGAGGCGGGGAAGGGAGGGGCATGCGGGGAGTGGGGAAGAGAGAGAATGTGTGTGTGTGTGTGTGCACGCGCTGGAGTTGGGGATGGGGTGGCAGGTGGGGGCTGGTGCAGGGAGGCCTGCCAGGCAGCTGCACAGCTCGATTGGGTGCCCCCTGGCGCTGACGCCGCGGTCTGCTGCCGCCGCTTCGCCCCGCCCCGTGCCTCCGCGCAGGTGGGCGGAGGCCATGGCGGCGCAGGGCTCTGGCGGCGCGTTTGAGATTTCTCAGCGCATGACGGCCATGGTGGGGTGGGGCGCCACCACCGACTTCCGCGAGGACTGGACCTGGGACCAGGCGGCGGAGACGTATGCGCTTGACCCAGAGATGGCCGCCAGGCTGCGGTGGGTTCGGAGCGGGGGCATGGTGTGGGGTGGATGTGCGGGTCTAAGCATGGGCATGCCTGCTCCTGGGCCCTGGCTCCCCTCAAGCCATCTTGGCTTGGGCCGCTAGCGTTGCTCGCAACCAGCCAGCTTCTAGTTGCATTATCATGCAATCTCAGTTGCAATCTTCCCTCGCCCTGCCCCTGCAGCAAGGCCAACCCGCAGGCCTTTGGCAACGTGCTGCGCCGCATGCTGGAGGCTGCGGGGCGCGGCATGTGGAACGCCGACGCCCAGACGCTGCGGCAGCTGCAGCAGATGTATGCCGACATGGATGACGAGCTGGAGGGCGTCAAGCGCTGAAAGCGTGGAGCAGAGGAGCTTTAGCGGCTGTGTGCCCGACACATCCCATTTAGGCCGCGGCTAAGAAAGGCCTTCTTTGAAGGCGCTGGAGCTAGTGTCTAAACCCTCCGAGAGGGCACAGGTTCGATTCCTCCCATGTCGAAACTTTGTGAGGACAAACGCGGCATAGCTGACCGGCTCAGCGCCAATCCAAGCCAATTCCTTCGGGAACGCCTAATAGAATCGCCAAGGCTTCGGCACAGGCCTCCCCGGGACCCATTCACTACTAGTGGGGGGTACTGCACTTGGCGCGTCGGGCAGATCAAATAATGGTCTAAAGCTAGACGTTAAAACCGGGAAGTGAAGCTTGTGGAGGCTCTTCCCCACCTTTACCTTTACATCCCATTTTGATTCATCGAGGCTTTGATCACATGTATTGACTATCGCTTCTATTTGATGATTTTCTGAGACCTTCATTCATTGGCGTTGGATGATCGCTAGCATCAGAGTGTACGAATGCAAAACGCCAGCCACCTGATCAGAGGCGGCTGCTGGGCCGGTCTGACGCTCCGGTGTGTTTTCCCTTCAGCACTGCCCGCCAGTCTGCTCGCTGGCTGCCTCTGCCGCCATGCTGCGCGACAGCACGGGGGCAGGAAGCGGGTCTCTGCTCAAGGCAGCTCCACAGGCAGTGCCCACACATGCAGGAGCAGGGGTGCAGAGCCCGCCTGGCCCGATGGCTCACCTGCTGATGGCCTCGGCAGCCTGTGCCCGCACCGGGCTGTTCACGATGCCGTCCAGCGGCTGCGTGGCCAAGGTGGCCAGCCCCACGGCCGTGCCGTCGTGCTTCCTTTCCAGCCCGCGCAGGCCAGAGTGCACCGCCTGCGCCGCCAGCTCTGCACGAGCCAGGTCCCCCACAACCTTGGCCATACGCTCACTGTCCAGCACCGCGCAGTCGCAGCCTGGAATCTCCTCTGCCGCCGCCGACAGCTCCTCGGCGGCCCGCCGCACGTGCTCCGCTACCTGAAGGGAGGCACAAGGGCAGCAGGTGGTGGCGCTGCCGTTGCCGCTGCCGTTGCCACCGCCATGCTGCATGCTGCATCGACATTCCGGCGGGTGACACCAGCCGCACAGTGCGATGCCCGTGTCCGTCACGCACCTCTTGCGCCCGGCTGAGGCGATCCCCAGCTTCGGCCATGTCTGAAACCGTAACTCCGATACCGAGGAGAGTGTCGCTGTGTGTGTGGGTTGCAGCAAAGAGAGTAAAACTAACGGAAACCCGGCGCGAGAAGCTGGAGGCCATGGGCATCCCAGCACAGCAGGCCCAGCACGACGGCACATCCTTGGACCACGCCGCCTCTCTCTCCCCAATTCCGTTCCTCTGCTTCCCTCGCTGCTGCGCGCCCCTGACACCCTCCACCATGGCTGACAAGAAGCTGCTGCAGGGCAAGACCGTCCTGATCACTGGCGCCAGCAGGGGCGTCGGGGAGACACTCTCCTGCCACCTGGCCCGCCACGGCGCCAAGCTGGTGCTGGTCAGCGAGAAGGGCGACGACCTGAAGCAGGTGGGTCTCGGCGCGGCATCTTACTGGCGGGGTCCAAGGCGCCGCCGCACCTGTCAGCCAGTCCCGCCAGCTTGCCTTGGCACCCAACCGGTGGCCTGCGTGGCAGGCGCTCTGGTGTACTGGCCTTTTTTAACCCTGGTGTACTGCGCGCTTGAGAGCTGAGCGCCTGCCTGCTGCTGCTGCTCCTGCTGCCGCACGGCCCACTCACCGTGGGACCCCCGCCTGACCGCCACCTACCCCCACCCTGCAGACCCAGGAGAAGTGCCAGGCCGAGGGCGCCCCTGATGTGGACACCCACTCGTGCGACCTGGCAGACCCGAAGGCCGTGCAGACCCTGGGGGAGAAGCTGGCCGGGCAGGGCGTGGACGTGGCCATCATGAAGTGAGGCTGCTGCCCTGCTGCGCCCTACGCTGCCCCGCTGCCTGGCCTTAAGGCTTCTGAGCGGCCAGCATGCATCATCCGTGTGCGAGGGACTTAGTTCACGCCTGGTGGGCGACCACCACCTCACTCTCCTGCCATCCCCTGCCGGACCCGCTGCAGCGCGGGCGTGTTTGTGGGCGGCGAGGACGACCCCCTCAAGGGTGGGAGGCCGCCTGACGCCTGGCTGCTGCGCCGCCGCCTGCCTTGAGCTGCTCGAGAGTGCCGCCAGCTCTCCAGCTTCCTGGAGGATTGACCTAGCCGCTGCAGGCAACCCCGACGAGTGGGACAGGATGTTCAGGATCAACGTCGCCGCCCCCATGCGCCTGATGCGCCTGCTGGCACCGGGGATGAAGGACAAGGTGAGATGAGGATGGTGAGTGGCAGGCAACCCAGCTTTCCTGGACGGAACTGTACTGCCACGGTACCTCTTCTTCCGGTCGCCCACTGATCCGTCCCACTGCAGGGGGAGGGGTGCATTGTCTGCATCTCAGATGTGGAGGCTGTGCACACGGGCCCCAGGCACGCCGCCTACGGTGAGCGGGACGGGAAACGCCGTGCAGCTGCGTGGGGCTGCAGCCTGCTCAGCTAAGGGCGAAGTCCCCGGGGATTTTCCACGCACCTGACATCGCATGCCCTGCCTCACCGCTGCCTGCAGCCGCCTCCAAGTCTGCGTACGAGGCGAGCTACCAGCCATTCGAGTGGCAGGCTGCCCCCGTTTTGGGCCGCCTCTCGTGTTTCAACGGAGTCGCCTTCGCTGTGCCAAGCTCTTTCCCCAGTGCCTGAGCCTCTTGCTTGTATACCTGCTGTGCAGGCCCTTCGCTCTGACGGGGTGCGGGTCATGAGCATCTCGGCAGGCGAGTGTTGGGGTGCTTTGCGAGCGCCGCCTGCCGCTCCTTGCCGACAGCACCCTTCATCTTCTGCTGTGCAAGCGTGCAGGCAACGTGGCCCAGACTTCCATGGCTGAGGAGACCGGGAAGCAGGGTGCGCGCCATGGGAGGGCGTGGTGGCCGTGCCAGGATACGCTGCCAGTTGGGCTTGCTTCATTTTGCCCCTGACCTCCCCCATGCTCTGCTCTGCAGGTGGGCAGGGTGCCATCGACCCTCATGATGTTTCGGAGGCGGTGCTGCTGGCCTTCCGCTGCTCCGCCAACTGCGTGCCCGAGGAGATCGTGCTGAAGGCGGCCAGGCCGCAGTGAACCCAGAGCTCCCGCTTCACCATCAGTGCCAGATGTAGAAGCAGCAGTCTGCCTCCTCGTAGATGCTTGCAAGACCTGTTGCGTTGAACAGCCCAAGTTGGTTGTGTAAACTGTAAAGTAGTGGCTTGGTCAGGCGGTGGCGCTCCGTGACGGCCCTCGAAAGTGCCGCCGCCGCCACCTGGCAAATGCATTCTGCACGTTCCTCAGGGTGGCAATCCCTAGTACTTGATGCTCGTTTGCCGTTGTGCGTGTCCCACCGGCCTCAGCGACCATGACAACGCAGAGGGTTCTGTGCTCCTCCAGGCCAGCGCCTTTCAGCGCTGCCAGGCTATCACACAGCAGCAGATGCAAGCCTCGCAGCAGGGCGCTGCAGCCGCAAGCCCTTTTCGGCAACCTGTTTGGCAAACGCGAGCCCCCACAGCAGGACGAGGCAGCCAGCGAGCAGCAGGAAGCAGTGCAGCGGTTGCTGGACTCCATTGAAGGCACGGAACGCGGCTTGAATCCAGACCAGCGGGAAGCGGTGCTGGCGGCCGCCGCCGGGCTTGTGGTGTATGGCGCAGGCCAGACGACCACCAATGCAGAAGCTTTGAGCGGGACATGGCGTCTGCTATGGACAACTGAGAAGGAGACGCTCTTCATCCTAGAGAAGGCTGGCTGGTTTGGCACCAAAGCAGGAGAGACCTGCCAGGTGAATTGCGGTGCCCGTTGCGTGTCCCTGGCCAAGTCCCTGGCAGCCAGCGGGAACACAAACAACTGCAGGGGCGCAGCTAACCACGGCGCTGCCTGCTGGTCCCCGGTTGAGCTGCAGGTGATTGACGTGGAGGGCGGCACCCTGCAGAATGTGATCACCTTCCCGCCGGCTGGCGCCTTCATCGTCGACTCCTCCATCGAGATTGTGGGCCCCCAGCGCACGGAATTTCAGTTCACCGGTGCCACGCTGCTGACGGAAGACCGCGCGCTGAAGCTGCCGCCATTTGGCAAGGGATGGTAATTTTGGGGGTGTGAGCTGTGCGTCCGCGGCTGTCGCCGCTGCCTGGTTCCCCCCGCTGTCTGCCTTCGGCTGATGCCCCTCCGCTGCTCCTCCCCCTTCTTTCCAAAGGTTCGACACCGTCTACCTGGATGCTGAGATCAGGGTGGCGCAGGACTCTCGCGGCGACACGCTGGTGGTGGCGCGCGACGGCCCTCCGCGGCGCTTCAGTCGATAGTTGAACGAGAGTGAGCCAGCCTCCGGACGAATGAATTCCTGTGTCATTTCATTGCCCTCTACATACTGCTTTTGCTCACAGCACTGCATCACTGACTTCCTGTAAATAAAGATTTGCCTTGCTGCTTGTGCTGGGTCGCCATCCGGTACTGCCGCGTGACGTGGCGCTGGCTGCTAGCTTCCAAGTCCCGCTTGCAGGCTGCAGCTGTCCGTTTGTGCCACCCAGGACTGCCGACCAGGGTTCCTAAAGGGGGTGTGGCTGGCTCCTGCGGTCGCCATGAACTCCACGATGGCCGCTTCTGACCTCTCCGGGGCCCTGCTGCCTCAGGCGTGGGCAGGCAGCTTGCCTGGAGTCTCCCTGGCATTGCTGGCGCTGGCCATCTCCATTTGGTTCTTCCAAGCCAGCGACGACTGGGCTAAGCTGCCAGGCCCTCCGCCGGCCTCCAAGCTGCTGGGCCACCTCCCTCAGGTGCGCGCAATCGCACTGCCAGGCTCCTTTGTGGTCCGCCCAGCCCAGCCAGCCTGCCGCTCCCGCTGCGCCGGCACCCTTGCCGCCTGTTCTTACCGGCGCTGCCTCCCTGCCTGCTGGCGCTGCCCCGCCCGCAGATGAATGTCCTCAACGTGCACCGCTTCTGGCAGGACTCCTGCCAGAAATATGGCGCCAAGGGCATGTTTAAAGTGCGGCTCACGCACTCGAATGCTCGTCTGCTGCTCCGTCGCCGTCCTGCCCTGGCCTTAGCAAGCGCCGCATCACCTGCTGATGCCTCTCTGCCCGCCGGCCCTGCCCTTGGCTGCCTGCCTTGCAGGTGCGGCTGCTGCATATGAAGGTGGTGGTGGTGTCGGATCCGGTCCTCATCCAGGCCATTGTCTCGCGTGCATCCGACCTCCCCAAGGCCGCCCAGCTGTACGATACCGTGGATGAGGTGGGTGGGTGGGTGGTGCTGGCGCTTGAAAGTTGTGCAGCCAGGCATCCAGCTTGCTATTTGGGCACACTTAATTCGGGCGCATGGGCCACCCGCCTGTCCGCAGCTGTTCAGCCCTGTCGGACACCGCTCCTTCTTCAACACCCACGACAACGATGAGTGGCGGGTGGTGCGCAAGACCACCGCCCCCGCCTTCAGGTGACCCGCCTCCATCGCAGCTGCGCCGGCACGGCGTGCCATCCATCCGTGTGCACCGCGTGCTTTTCGCCTCATGCTGCTGCGTGCTGTGTGCCATTGGTCCGCAGCTGTGCCTGCCCCGCCCGTTGGCTGCAGCCCCGCCATGATCCGCAAGGCCTTCCCCAAGCTCATGGATGTGAGGCAACCTGGCAGCCCCACGGCTTGTAGCTGGGAGCGGCACCAAGTGCTGCCCGCCCGTCTGCCTTGGTGCCTGCTTGCCTTGGTCTGTCTCCCGCTGTCCCTCGCCCTTGCCTTGCCCAACCGCTGCGGTCCCCACATCCCCCGCAGGTCACCAGCGAGCTGTGCGATGCGCTGGCGGCCAAGGTGGCGGCGGGGGAGAGCAGCGTGGAGATGAGCGAGGCGGCCATGCGGGTCACACTGGACGTCATCGGCTCCACGGGCTATGGGTGAGAGCCCAGGCTGCGCCGCCGCGCCTGCGGTCCGCTGCATGGAGGGGCGCAGAGTAGCGCGCTGCCAGATGGCGGTCTGCTCCACATCACAGTCCGCCATTCCCCGCATCCCAGCCGCGACCCTGCGACCCCTGGGCCGCGCCCTGCTGCCGCCGCAGGTACGACTTCAAGGCCCGCACCTTTGCCCGCTGCGAGTTGTTTGAGATCATCCCGCCGCTGCTGGGCGAGTTCACGCTGCGGTCCACCAACCCTGCGCGCGCGGCGGCGCACCGCTGCCTGCCCTTCCTGCCGGAGGCGCGCAGGTTCAGGCAGCGGGTGCAGGTGGGCGGGGCGAGGGTGGTGCGGTGGGGTTGGAGAGCGCGCGGCAGCCCAAGCACGCCTCATCTACCAAGGCGACGCCTCTGCCAGCTTGTCAGCTTGTCGCCGACCTGGGCTGCGTGCCTGCCCGCCTGCCCACCTGGCTCCCCTTCATGCCACCTCCGCACCGGCCCCACAGGCCTGCCACAAGTGGTGGCGCATCCTGCTGGCCAGCGTGCGGCAGACAGACCTGGCTGCGGCGGCCGCCGAGGGCGACACCAGCCTGCGCGTGTGCCTGGCGCAGCTGCCGTTCACAGACGAGCAGCTGATGCCAAACGTGGCGGCCTACCTCATCGCCGGGTGAGGCGGGCGGGGCAGGGGCTGGCTGTCTGCGTGACGAGGGGCCGGGCCCCGCCACCATCACCACGCCCACCCACAAACACATCCTCAGCCCCACACACATACCACCACCCCACCCACCCTGTCACCAACCCCGCACCCCCCCCTGCGCAGCTTTGAGACAACCGCCCACAGCATCGCCTGGTCGCTGTACGAGGTGGCCAGCAACCCGGCGGTGCAGCGGCGGCTGGAGGCGGAGCTGTGCGGCGCGGGGCTGCTGGGCCCCGCGGCGCGACGCCTGGAATTCGGCGACCTGGCGGCGCTGCCCTTCCTCAACTGCGTGCTCAAGGAGGCCATGCGGCTGCACCCCGTGGCGTCAAACGGATCCATCAGGTGGGCGCACGCCTTCCGTTGATCGCGCCAGGGCCGTGTGGCGGTGCCCCTGCCCGCTGGGTGCGTCATGGGCGTGAGGGTGAGTCGTCACGCCTCCCTGCCTCTGCCCCCTGCCCCACCGCTGCGCGTGCAGGAAGGCGGACAAGGAGATCAGCCTGGGCGGCTACCGCCTGGCCCCCGGCACGCTCCTGTGGATCCCCTTCATCGCGCTGCTCACCTCCAGGCACAACTGGGAGCGGGCCGACGAGTTCTGGCCGGAGCGCTGGGAGCTGGAGGGGCAGGCGGCTGCCGCCACAGGCGCCGCGTCGGGCCCCACCCCCGTGGGCAACGCTAGCAACCCTGCGCTGACCTACCTGCCCTTTTCCTCGGGTGAGCAGAGTGCTTGCCTGCTTTCACCTGCTGGTTGTTATGCGCCGAATGCAAGAGTGCCTCTGCGCCTGCTGTCTGCTTGCCTGCTTCCTTGCCCGCGCCTTCGTGAGCTGGCCTGGCCTGCCCCGGGGCTGCCTGCGCCTCTCCTGCAGGCCCGCGCGACTGCATTGGGCAGAACCTGGCGCTCATGGAGGCACGGGCGGTCATTGCATCCATCGTGGGCCGCTTTGAGCTGGGCGTGGCGCCAGAGATGGGCAGCCGCGAGGATGTGCGCAATGACGAGGTGATGAAGCTGACCCTGCAGTGCAGCAAGGGCATCCGCCTGACGCTCAAGCCGCGGCAGTGAAGAGGGAGGCGAGAGGGCGCCGCCGCCGCGCGGCGAGCCATGTGCTCACTTGTTCAGAATCCGTTTCATTTCATCGTCACGACTGCTATCTGCCCATCCCCTTTCATCTGATTCCGTCTACGATCAGTATTCCCGGCGCAGCTGTATCCTGCTGTGTGAATTTCATTCTGCTTGCCCACGATGTGGCGAGGCTTTCTGAGCCATGTCTGCGCCATCCCGCACACTGCTTTGCCATGCCGAACCTCATTTGTTTTGTGCTGTAAATGGCTGAATGCCTCTCTTCTTGGCCGCTGGCGACCAGGCGGCCTCTGGGGTGCAACTCACCGGCACCTGGCTGCACCTCTCCCTTCCGGCTGGCGCTGGGGCGGTAAAACTAAGAGCAGAGTCCAACAATGCACACGTTGCGAGCCTTGAGAACATCGGTGAAGCAGGTGAGAGACCGATCGCTTGCCGATGCACCTCCTCTCTAGGCTCTCTCATGCATGTTGATGGTGCTGGAGGCACAATTGCCACAGCAGAGGTGCGACCGCCACTGCCGGCCATCGCCGCCGCTGCCGCCGCCGCCCGCCCGCCCGCCTGCAATGAGTTTTTTTCCCTGCTGCCTGGCCCGTTCTGGGACAGCAATCCATGTGGAGGTGCTGGGCGAGGAGGAGGGAGGAGGCGAGCAGTACCATCTGACGGCCTTTTTGGAGCCCTCAGAGGTGCCTGGCAGCGCCGCCATGGCTTGTGCCCCGTCCGGCTCTTGTTGCCCCATCCTTCACCCCCTACACGCTGCCCCTCTTGCCTGCCCTGCAGGTGGTCCCTGTGGGAGCCAACACCCGCTTCTTTGTGAGTGGGTACCAGCAGGCCACCATGCATTACATCACCGATAGGAGCGCATCGGGAGCAGCAGCCGCAGGAGCAGCAGCGGCCGCGGGGGCCAGCAAGCGTCCCGTGCCCAGCGGCATAGCAGACGGCGACAGCAAGAGGCAGCGAGTGGGGAGCCCCTCGGGGGCAGGGCCCAGCGGTGGCGCCCCATCAGCAGCGGCAGCAGGGGGGGCAGCTGCGGGATCGGCGGACCCTTTGGATCGCGTGCCGGATGCGCCCATGCACCTCATGCGGGTCCGAGGCATCCCCAGGTGCCCTGCTGCCTCCCCACAGCCACCCCGCCCTCCGGCAACACGCCCCTGAAATCGCCGCTGTGGCCTGCCAGCTTCCGCAACCTGCCCACAGTCTCATGCCCAACGTCGCTGCCTGTCCCCACCCTTCCCTGGCACGGCCCTTGCCTGCAGCTGGGCCAACGAGGGGTTCCTGGGTGTGTCGCTGGCCGACCTGGTGCGGGGCCCCATGCGCTGGTGCCTGGTGTCCAACTACATGCTCGACCTGGCCTGGCTGCTGTCGGCCTGCCCAGAGCTGGCCGCCGTCCCGTGCCTGGTGCTGGTGCACGGCGAGAAGTCGGGAGGCATGGCGTGAGTGGGCCCGGCGCCGCGCGGCGTGTGGCGCTTGGCAGGCGCAGGGCGCTGCAGTCCCCAAGGGCAGCACAGCTTGCTTGGAACAGCAGGGTCCTGATTTTCACACTGCCGGTGCTTGATCTACCCTTTAATTCCCCGCCCACCCTCCGCTGTTGCTACCTGCCCCGCAGGTCGATGAAGCTTGCCAACGACTTGAACGCTGCCGGGCTGCAGCAGCGTGCACAGGTCTTTGCGCCGCCGCTGCCGCTGCAGTGGGGCACACACCACAGGTGCGGGCGGCCCAGGCTCAGGCTGTCAGCATGCACTATGTTTCGCCTTGCTGAAATGCTGCGCCTGCACGGCAGCACACGTAGGGCAGCCGAATCCTGTCCACCAGCCCTCCCCACCCCTCGCCCCCATCCTGCTGGCGTCGCCCTGCAGCAAGGCCTTTTTGATTGAGTATGAGCGAGGCCTGAGGGTGATCATCTTCACAGCAAACGCAATCTACCCTGACTGCAACAACAAGAGCCAGGGTGCGGCGCCGGCTGTGGCTGGGCACGCCGCGGCTTGCGCTGCGATGGCTGGTATCGCGGCGGCAGCAGCGGGCGCAGCCTGCTGCTGCGCGCCGCTCGCTGGCTCTTGTTGTTGCCCAGTCAGGGTAGATTGCGTTTGCTGTGAAGATGATCACCCTCAGGCCTCGCTCATACTCAATCAAAAAGGCCTTGCTGCAGGGCGACGCCAGCAGGATGGGGGCGAGGGGTGGGGAGGGCTGGTGGACAGGATTCGGCTGCCCTACGTGTGCTGCCGTGCAGGCGCAGCATTTCAGCAAGGCGAAACATAGTGCATGCTGACAGCCTGAGCCTGGGCCGCCCGCACCTGTGGTGTGTGCCCCACTGCAGCGGCAGCGGCGGCGCAAAGAC